ATAATATAAAATACAAGGTTTTACATTCTATTTATTCCTCCCAAATTGAACCTATTAAGTTGTATAATAAACAAATTCAGGACTTAAATTTAGGCTATGTTTGATTTGAAGGAAAATGCAAGGAAGGGAAAGATAAAGAAACCTTTACAAACCTTATATGGGTTTCCCTCTCTCTCTTCCTTTCCTTCAAACCAAAGGTATCACGTCAGTTGTACTGATTTTCTCGTTTGGAAACAAATTTTAATTTATGGCCTATAGGTTATTATAATAAAGCTTGCATGAAGCAATCAATCGCTTCCTTTCTCTATCGAGTATAATTTTAGTGCTAATTACTACTGTCACCCTGGCTCTCACTGATTGATGAACATGCTGGGCCATAATTCCTGCATCCGCTATAATAGAAATACAGATACTAGTCTCTGAGCTCCTTAAAGAATGTCATTTTTGTGCACAGGAATGCTTTACGTGGAGATGGCTTCTCGGAAATAACATGGATAAATGTAAATAAGATTGTTCCTTTTTTTTTTTTTTTAATCTGAAGTGTTTCCTGGCGAAGAGATCTCTGAAGAAGATATGATCATCCCAGCACGTCTTCATTGAAATCGTTGTAATAAGAGCATTGATTGTTACAGCATGTTTGACTTTAAATCTCTGTAAAAAAATCTCCAATGATTCACAAAGAAACAAAATGGAAAAACAAACAAATACAAAAAAAAAAAAAAGATTTGAACGGATTGCTCTAGGGAGAAACAAAACAGAGAGGTGGGGAGAAAAGAACAAACAAAGAGAGATGGAAAGAACAACAAAGAGAGGAAGAAGAGAGAAACATAACAGAAAAACCCAAAGTGAGACCAAGAAGAAGAAAAACTGCCAGAACTGCAAAAGTGAAGAATGAAGGGAGAGGGAAAGAGGAAGAGAGGAAAGGGGAGCGAGAGAAAAAGAGGAACACGTGATCACATCCTTAGTACTACTCAAACTTACGTGAAGTGGTTTTAAAGCCATGCTTGTTTGTGATGCAATTTCATTAGCTTTGGCTCCATTTGGTTTAGTGTAATTTCATCTGTTATAAAATAGAAAATTTCATTTTAAAATCTATAACCAAGAATCGATGGACACAAAATATATTGAATAAGAATTAGGGCCGTAGTTGGATCGGATTCAGATGGGATCTAGCTACATTCACATCCAATCCGATTATCAATACTTTAGAATATCAGATTCAGATTTAATCTGATAATTATTAATTAGGTCAAATAAGATTAAATACACATATGATGATTAATTTTTTAAGTACACATATGACGATTATTAATCAAATGCAAATTATAACTTTCAAATACACAATAAATCAGATTTGGAGTCCAACTGCATTTAACTATGGATCCCCTTTTGCTCCACAATAATGGGTTCAGATCACCTACTAACACACAACACATGGTGATAGGGGTGTTCATTGTTTGGTTCAAATCGGAAAACTGAATTGAATCAAATTGAATTTGCGATTTGGCGATTTGGTTTGGTCTGCACCTGAAAATGGTTTGATTCGGTTTCAGGTTTTGTTAAATTGCGGTTTATGGTTTCGGTTTGATTTTATTGATTTTATAGACCTAACCAAACTATAAATCATAAACCATAAACCGAATATATATATTAACCAGATATATAAAATTATAAATATATAATAAATTCTTTTATTTTATAATAAAATAAAAGTTTTAAGTTTTAATTTTTAGGGGTGTTATTTAGGCTTTCTAATTGGGCAAAGTTTAATAGAATCAAAGAATGGTCCAAAATTCCTCAAACTGTATTAAAAACCATGGTCTAATTTGGTTTTCATGCCAAAATGGTTTGGTTTGATTTTAGAAATTTTCAAACCATAATTTATTAGTTTGGTCTAAGATCTTTTCTAACACATCAAACTGGATTATAAACACCCTTAACAACTGTGCATTTGGAACATCTCCCATGAATGAAAAGAAACATGTTCCCAATATGCGGTTGTAGTGATCGGGACATTATTGAGAGAGTTTTATTGGCAGAGATACCTGTTCCACAACAACATCGACACGCTGAATTACTGGTTATTTCACTATTTTGAAAACTGGATCGGACAGTCAAACTGTTTGACCCGAGACTAGTCATCTTTTCAGGTTTGGTTTTAGATTGGACCACTTCTTTGAAAAAAAACATTGAACTGGTTAAAAAACTACTGACCCAAACGATAAAACCATTAAACCATTCAACCCAAACAACAATTTACTGTTTTAATAAAATTTTATTTAAGATTATTAATAGGAAAAAAAAAGGAGATTGAGAAATGGGGGAGGGACTAAAACGATCTCACTCAAATCTAAGAGAGAGAGAGACAAGATCTCATAAGTTAGATAGAGATTAGAGAAAGAGTCATTGGCATCGTTCGTAGCCTCTCGTTCATCCTCCTTCCTTCTTTCATTTTCTTTTATTTCTTGTTTTTTTCGGCCGATAGCTATCTATCTTTCTTTTCTCATATAAATAGAGAAAATGGTTTTCAAAACCAAACCGAACGGTCGAACCGGTAGCCAGTTCCCAATTTTCCCAAAACCGAATTTTCTCCAAAATCAATGGTTATTCTTACCCTTTTTTTTATACGGGTGATGGGGGACCACGGCATAGAAGAACCGTCCAAAGTCCAAACAATAAACAAGATCATGGCCTGGATGGTCCGTCCGATTGGTCCCTTCAACGCTCTGGGGAGGTGGTGGGCCCTTCCCCTTCTACTCACCTGTCAGAGCTCAGCACCGCCAACCCACGTTGAAAATCTAGAACTTTGAAACTGCCAGAATGTAAGTGGTGGGCCCATCAAACCATGTTTGTTTCAAATTGAACACGTAATGCCACGTATCCCTTACATGTCAGGCTTCACGTCAATCCTGCGGTCCAGCATTCTCCTGGTACTGATTAGATTCCACATAATGGGCCCGTCATGTCATGATGGTGTAACATTTCTTATTTGTCGTATTACCTTAAAGCCTGAGACGCTCACGGGCCGCGGCATTCTTGATTTTAACGTGTTAATCTTTTGGGGCAGTTCACCAACCGCATGATGCCAATTTCTCCCGTGGGTCCTATCACTTTCTTTTTGTTAAGTCGTACAACTGATCACAGCCGTCCAATTTTGGAGTAGTTCACCAAAAAGTAAGCAATTTAATTAACTATTTTTTTGGCAACTTATTTAACTACTAACCCGGTTCGATCACCAAAATTACATTGGCTTACATAGTGATGCAAACGGATCGAATCGAATCGGATGCAGGCATATCCGAATTCATTTAGATAGGAATTCCAATCGAATTTTATCCATCTCATGTAATTGCAATAAGATAATAAGATATTGAATTGTATAAATAAGATAAATTAAAAATGATCAAAATGTCATATACTATTAAAATGAATTAAAAATGATTTTATATTATATTTTATGTACAAAATTGCATGAAATTTAAAGCAACCTCAATTATAAATTATTTGAATTCGGGTCATTTTTAGGACCGAATTCGAATTCAAATTTGGACAACCAAATAACATTAACAGCCCTAGGGTTAGGGATGGCAATGTGAAGGGTTATTTTAGATCATCTTCACCTTCCTAAACCTCCATTGTCAAACTTCTATCGAAGATGCGGATTGAGTCCAGCTACTCGTTACCATTGAGGTTGAGAAAAATTATTAGTATGTATTGTTGCGTTGTGCCCAAAAAAAAAAAAAAAAAAAAACTTCTAACACATACCCTCCCCAAATCTCAAGGATAAGAATTCAAACCAATGTTTTAAAAAACGATTCAGAATCATAACCGTTTTAGTATGTATTTGATTTTATTGGTATTTATTGAAAAAATGCCGCTATATCAACGCTATATGACATTGACATTTATTGTATATGAAGTAAAATAAAATAATTGTTTGGTTTCACCATTTATCAAATGAATGATAAAAAACTGAAACGTTTTGAAATTTGTGCATGTGGTATTTGGAGAAATGCCAAATTTTTGTTTCCCTCAATGCCCTAGTATTTCCTGAAATCAAATGCTAAAACATTTAGAGTAAAAATAGGAAACATTTAAAGAAAAAAAAAACATTTAAAGTGAAAAGGCACAAATAAACGGCCACCCATAAATGAAACCAAACACATACTTAGTCATCGATTTCTAGGTTAATCGTTTGATTGCCTGATTCGAATAGACAGCCTGTTCTGATGAAAAAATTTAAAAATAATTAAAAGTTAAAGAAAATATTATAAATCATTAAATTGGTCAAACAAGTCAATAATTCAACTGTCCAATTCAATAGGTTATTGACCGATTCAATAATTTTTAGTCAAAGACCGAGTTTAGAATAAAACGGAACCGATTGTCTGAACAATTCATAAACTGAATGGTCCAACTGTTCGAATCAACAACAGTTAAAAAACCATGATTCAAACCCCATTTACATATTAAGAATGTATAACCTTCCCCATTTAACAAAGCCACCCTATTGGAATGGGTATGATCTACACCCACCCGGTAATGTGGAAATTGGCATCCCTACCTAGGATTAATGATTTTCGGTTCGACCCGTGACTCAATTAGTATGATGATCATGCAAACTGACCAGTGCTTCTTTAACCCGACAAATCATATTGTCCGGATATAGGACCCGACCAAATTGTTGGAGTATCCGGGTATAATGGTAAGAGATTACAAAATAGGAATGCTCCATTATAACTTGCCTTATACAATGAGGGTAGTTTTGTCATGTAGAAGGAAAATTTTACTCATTATTTTATGTATGTGCGCTTGCTTTATCGAAACCAGACTGTCCCAGCACAAAAATCCTCGGCAAAATTAGAAAAAAGTGGGCAAAGAAATGGACAAATTGCATGCTTTATTTCAATTGATTGAATACTAAAAACGTCAAAGAAACAGAGTACCGAGAGTGGGTGTTTGGATTATAAAAGGAAGAGCAGTCGAAGGAGACTTACTTGTGTGCAGGCTGTAGAGTGTAGAAGAGAGAAACAGTAAGGGGTTTTAAGTGATTGCTCAACAATGGCTACCATCATAGTCCCTGATCACACTTCTCCTGTTGAAGATGCAGAGAACCTCAGAAAGGCTTGCGAGGGTAATCTAGTTGATTTGATTTAATTCTTTGCATTTCTATCTCCTTTTTTATATTTTTCTTCTCTGTTGACTGTTTATTATTCATGAATTTAAACGCACATGGGTTCATATATTTTGCCACCTTGTTCGTAACACTGGTAGTTCCATTGGAAAGATCAGTCTTTTAGTTTCATTTTGATCTTCTTCATTTGTTCTCCTTTGTAAATGTCTGTTTTTTGTTTTTTTTTGATAGATAAATAAACCTTTGTAAATGTGTTTGAATATGTGTTTTGATGTATAGATTTCGTGATCAACCAGAAATTGGTCAAGGTAAAATTCACAACATTGGTAGTTCCAGACTCCCAGGCCATCGAAAAGATCAGACCTTTTACTTTCATTATGATCTTCTTGCTATTTTTTTCCTCTTGGTAGATAAACAACCCGATACTGTTAGTTCAAGTGAAAAGATCAGTTTTTTTTTTTTTTTTACTTTCATTTTGATCTTCTTGTTTTTTCCTTTGTAAATTTTTGGGTTTATTTGATAGATAAGAAGCAAACCTTTGTAAATGTGCTTGAGTATGTGTTTTGAAAAAGGATTTGGTGATCAACAAAATATTAAGATTTACAATATTGTCGGATTGGTTTACTTCAATTTCTGAATCAAACAACTTAACTTGTGATGGTAAGACCAATAAAATCTACTCAAAATTTCCATTTGTAAGTTTTCCCCTATTGCAGATTTATAGAAAATTTGAAATTTGAAATTGTTTAACAATGGTCATTTTAAGTGTTACATAGCCATTAGTTTCAAGTTCCTCACACAAAAGTTTCATTCTTTTGGGACTTGTTAGGATGGGGGACCAATGAGAATACCATTGTTTCAATACTCGGGCATAGAAATGCAGTTCAAAGGAAACAAATCAGGCAGGCTTATGAGGAGATTTATCAAGAAGATCTAATTAAGCGACTTGAATCCGAACTCAAAGGGGAATTTGAGGTTTATTTTAGACACTTTCAGTATGCAATGTTTGATTCATATGTTCTTCTCAATAAGAATGAAATGACCAACTTAATTTACATGATTGTAGAAAGCTGTATATCGCTGGATACTAGATCCTGCAGACAGAGATGCAATCTTGGCTCATGTAGCTGCTAGAAATGCAAAGTCTGACAATCGGACGATCATTGAAATTGCTTGCATTCGATCTCCCGAGGAACTCTTGGCGGCGAAACGGGCCTACCATTTCCGCTACAAGCATTCTCTGGAGGAAGATGTCGCCTCTCGTACTACAGGCGACTTCCGTAAGGCAATGCACTTGACATGGCAATGATGCTGTTTACAGATTAGAATTGCTTGTCTGAAATTCCTAATGCTTGCATTTTGGGTGGTGGTTTGTGTTACAGCTTCTAGTTGCCTTAGTGAGCACTTACAGGTATGATGGTGATGAGGTAGATGTGAGCCTAGCTGGATCAGAAGCCAAAATTCTTCATAATATGATTGAAGGGAAATCCTTTAACCATGAAGAGGTAATCAGAATCTTAAGCACAAGGAGCAAGGCACAGCTCAATGCAACCTTCAACCGCTACAAGGACACACATGGAGCTTCCATTACCAAGGTGATTGTCTGATTGATGTGAATCTAAAACTCTTTGATGAGAAAGCCAAGTATGTTGCATTGTAGTGGGAAATTATTTGATCTCATGTGATCACATCTTATTTCTGTTTGCAGAGTTTATCAGGTAATCCTGCTGATGAGTTCTCTGAGGCACTATGTATAGCTATCCAATGCATCAGATCACCTCAAAAGTACTTTGAAAAGGTGAGATGTTGTAAAAAAAGATATAATGGCTTTATGCTTGAATGCTTGCATACCTAGACTTAGAATTCTCATGGGATTTTTGGTGTGTTGCATTCATCAGGTTCTGCGTAATGCAATTAATAAGGTAGGAACTGATGAAGATGCAATTACGCGTGTGATTGTAACACGTGCAGAGAAGGACTTGAAGGACATCAAGGATTTATATCACAAGAGAAACAATGCATCTCTTGAGCATGCAATCAGCAAGGATACTTCAGGCGACTACAAAATTTTCCTCCTTACTTTACTGGGGTGCGAAGAGCTGTAACTCTGTTGTCCAAATGTGTGGAAAAAATTGTTAAATCTGGATTCTGTGGTTTGAGAATTGGTGTCTGGTTTGTGGGGTTTAGTTTCTAGGCTACTGGGAAAGCATTTTGCTTTCTGGGTTGTTAAATGGTAACGAGTGCTGAACTTTGGTGTGCAAATAATCCTATGATTTCCATTACTCCTGCTCTGTTTCTTCCCTAGTTTCTGAGTGTCTTAGATCAGAATCTTGCTTGATGTTTACCGGTTGGAACTCAGCTTTCTAAGAAATTTTTATGATGTTGATGTCATTTAGTTTGGCTGTTCTAGTATTTATCTTAGGTATTCATATTCTATTATGACCCTAATTAATTTTAGATTAATATATTAATAAGAATGCACATCATACATACCTCAAATTTGAGATTATAATGCCACATTGCTTTCTTTTTTGGTAATTGCCATATTATATTTTAAGCATAGAAAAATTAATCAAGAATTAAACATCCCTTTGAACATTCCCTTTATTATTCCCATGCTCTTTATATCATGCACAAGTCTCAAGCAATGGGGAAACAAAATCAAAATGTGGGTCACCACCTCTCATCATTATGTGGTGTTTCTTTGCTTGGAAACAGTATGCAGGGAAATCAAGATGTACAAGTAATGGTTATACTTTGGATATATCCTCATATCCCTTAAACAACAAAAGTTTTATCTTTTCAAACGAGCACATATTTTGGATAGTGAAAGGAAATATGACAAATGAAACATGTTTATTAAAACGAAAGGAAGAAAATCTTGTAGGCCAAAAGCTAATAAAATCCACAGTTGTGCTCTGGATTATTGCTAAAGATAATATGGTTGGATTCTGGCTCAGAGAGAGATTATGGGAAAGGGAAAACTTAGAAAATAGAAAACCTAATTTTTGCAATACTTCTGGTTTACTTTTTGCTTGATCTGTGTTGGATGTAGATAAAACAAACAATAGTTGGAATGCAAAGAGCAGCCTATACTTTGCTACATTTAGGAAACCAAAGAGTTCCAACAAGATAGTTCACTACAGAGTAATTTGTAATTCACCCCATTTCTAGAGATTTAAGCAACAATTATTTTAATATGTAATCAGTGAAACATGACCAATTGGTTCAATTGGCCACTAAATTTAATCCAGCTCTAAGTTAATAAAAGCTCCTGTACTAGATGGATTTATTTCCCACTCTTGCGTTCTTGTTGGGTTTTAGTTTAATCTGACATTATCATCTGTTTATAGATTTTATTTTAGGAATGATACTTATTTTTCCAATTGATTAACCTAGGCTGTTTCTGTTTCAGTGATCCCTCTCTAATCTTGTACTATCTCTCATGACTTAGAATGTTCAGTGACCCAACTGGTTGATCCATGCATGATGGCAGTATGGTATTCCCAAGAATCACTTGGGGGATTTTAGTCCATGCATGATGATACTTTGTATCCCCAAAGTTGGTCAGAGGATTTCAAAAGAAAGACTAGTCTTGAACGACTTTTAAAGTTAAGGGTAAATTACAAAGACCCCTGTACTATGGGGTCTGTGACAAAGACCCCCCTGTCTCCCTCTCTTCTCTCTCCCCTGATCTCTCTTCTTCCCCTTCCCCTTTCTCTCCTCTTTCATCAAAATTCACTGGTTTTTGAGTTCTGCTTGGCAAAGTTCTTCTACGAAAAGGTCTTTGTGAGAATTGGGAAGACATAAATGTATAGAGTGAGCATGGGAGTAGTCGACTCGAGAAGCAGTTTGACTTGGATTTGCAGTGCAGTCAGATTCAGATCACGTTACACATAACACATTCTCTGAATACTCAATATAAAAAATCAGTTTACTGTGACCACGCTACGTTGTTGCTGGTGCTTCTCCCCCAGGCCCTGGGGCCCTGTGCCTCTCTCTCTCTCTCTCTCTTTGTAGCCTAGAGTTCAGTGACCCACAGCCCCAGCAACGAACCCCCCGACCCCTGATAACAGTTGGAATGCTCGTATCTTACGAAAATCAGAAACAACAAGGAAGATAGTTCTGACTTCTGCCCTATGAGCATAAATTTCTCCGTGATTCTCCCACCCTTTAACTGAAACCATTTTTCTCGTGCTCTCACTCTCACTGAGATCTTTTCTCTGTTACGAAAACAGAGCATCCGCTTTCTGCTTTTGTTTTGCTCCTAAAAGATGAAAGCAGAGCTTTTTTTATTTATACTTTTTTTCTGTTCTTATTCATTGAGAATGCCGATATATATATACATGAATAAAGTCGAGTCTCCTACGTTTATAAGGGCTCAAACTTACTTTTCCTAACTGAACTATACATGACAAGGATAAGAAGATGTATACAAAGAAGATAAACGGAGACTCCTAATTCAATCACAACAAAGACTCCCAATTCAATCCTAACACTCCCCTTTAAGTTGGAGTATGCAAATTGTGAATGCCCAACTTGCGGAGAAAGTACTCAAATTCTCTACGACCCAATGTCTTTGTAAAAATGTCAGCCAGCTGAACGGTAGTCAACACATAAGCAGGACGAATGCAACCATTTTGAATCCCATCATGTACAAAATGGCAATCAACTTCAATATGTTTCGTATGCTCATGAAACACTGGGTTTGCTGCAATATGCAAGGCTGCCTGACTATCACAATATAATCGCATTGGGTTCGAATGCGTAACTCCAAGAGCCAATAACAATCCCTTCAGCCATTTTAATTCACACGTGGTCGTGGCCATAGACCGATACTTTGCTTTCGCTGAAGAACGAGCCATAATGTGTTGTTTCTTACTTTTCTAGGAAATCGGCGATTTCCCAAGCATAATAAACCACCCAGACAGAGAACGTCGGGACAAAGGACAACTCGCCCAATCTGAATCACACCATGCATATAACTGCAAGTCACAATCTGAACGCAAGAGAATTCCTTGACCAGGATTTCCTTTCAAGTAGCCCACCACTCGTAATGCAGCCTCTCAATGTCTTTCTTGCAGTTGCTACATGAATTGGGACAGAACATGCACACAATAAGACAACTCTGAACATGTTGCTGAGAGATAAATAAGCCTCCCCACCAAGCGTCTGTATCGCTTAGGATTAGATAAGAGGGGCCCATCTGTCAAGGCGAGATTGTGATTCTGCTCCAGAGGAAAATGAGCAGGTTTTGCACCAAGTAATCCAACTTCAGAGATAATATCCAAAGCATACTTACATTGAAATAGAAAAATTCCCGTTGAGTTTTGGCCAACTTCAATGCCCAAAAAATATTTCAATGATCCCAAGTCTTTCATATGGAAGTAGTTACTCAAATATTTCTTGAAGACTTGAATTGACATACGATCATTACCTGACATGATAATGTCGTCCACATATACGAGAACAAGCACATGCACCCTGTCTTTAAAGCTGCGGTTAATTTAGCAAACCAACATCTCGTCGCTTGTTTGAAGCCATACAGAGATTTTCGCAACCGACACACCATACCTGGGTTATCTGACTGGAAACCCAGAGGCATTCGCATGTAGACTTCCTCATGAAGGTCACCATGCAAAATGCGTTATGGACGTCCATTTGATGAAACTCCCAATTTCTAGCTGCTATGACTGCAAGGAAGGTACGGACAGTGACCATTTTTGCAATTGGGGCAAAAGTTTCATTATAATCAATTCCTTCAACTTGCTTGTTCCCAAAAATCACGAGACGAGCTTTATATCTTTCCACTGTCCCATCAGCGTTATACTTGATTCGATACACCCATTTGCATCCTATGGCTCGTTTTCCGGATGGCAAAAGCTCCACAGTCCATGTCTGATTATTTTCAAGTGCCTGTATTTCTTTCTACAAAGCATCCCTCCATTTTTCATCCTTTACAGCCTCAACAAAAGAAGTAGGTTCAACCCCTGCAGTAATAGCTACCAAGAAAGCACGATGTCGACAAGAAGAATTGTTACAGTTGACATAATTATCTATGGGGTAAGGACTACCTGCAAAATGTGATTGGCCGAGTGAGCTCGTAAAGGGACGCGGAGAGGGACTCAAGCGTTGTGTGGTGTGAAGCACATAGTCTCTTAACCTTGTGGACTGCTGTTTCTGTCGATGCCCACGCCTCAAATGAAATTCAGAGTGCTATTGTTGCTCAACATTGCCACCCCCTAACATTAGGACCGTCTTCGCTTGCATTTTCTGTGGTGGCGTCACAAGAATGCATGGGTTCACCACCATTTGCATTTGGGTCTACGTGGGCTTCTTCTTCTACACGGACTCTTTCTTCAGCGAGTTCACCTTGCTAGCTAGCCTCCATCTCTCCATTTGCTAGTCTAGGTAAATAAGTGGATGATATCAACACCTCATCTATCCCATCTATTGTGCTTTGTTCTGTTGTGCATCTTCCTTGTGTGCATACGGGAATTCATGCTCTAAAAATGTAATGTATCTTGATGCAAAGATCATGCCAGACTCTAAATCATATAAGCTCCATCATTTCTTTCCAAAAGGATACCCAACAAAAACACACTGTCTGCTTCGACTGACAAATTTATCCCCTCCATGTCTATGATTGTGCGCATATTCTAAGCAACCAAAAACTCACACATTATCATAAGAAGGAGGTCACCCAAATAACATTTCATAGGGAGTCTTTTCCTTTAACAGAATGGACGGTGTCCGATTGATCAAATAACATGCGATCAAGACACATTCCTCCCAAAAATCAATAGGCAAGTTGGCTTGAAAGCGCAAAGTTCGGGCAACATTGAGTATGTGGCGGTGTTTGCGTTCAACCCTCCCGTTTTGTTGAGAGGTCTCGATACAAGTGGTTTGATGAATAATACCACTTTCAGCAAAATAACTAGCCAAGCATACAAACCCAGTCTCATTATTAGTACGGATCACCTTTACAAGTTTGTTAAATTGCCTTTGAACCATAGCAAAAAAATTTCGAAGAACTCGTCCCACTTTCGTCTTATCAATCAGAAGATAAATCCAAACGCCTCTAGAAAAATCGTCTACTATGGTAAAGAAATAATGAGCACCACAAGAAGCTGCAGTTCTATAAGGACCCCACAAATCACAATGAATTAACTCAAAAATGTTGGATGATTTATTATTACTAGAAACAAACTCTTCTCGACATTGTTTAGCTCGGAAGCATGCATCAGAAATAATAGAGTCCCTCTCGCTGTTCACCCGCTCCAATCAGCATCCTCGTAGTGCGGTCCTGTATCACACATAATTTATTAGTGAACTGGACAATACAATTCGATTCCTCAATCAATTGCGAT